CCCAAAAAAAAAAAAAAAAAAAAAAAAAACAACACAAGCTGACCTGACTGAAAAACCTGCATGCTTAGCAGTGGACACAACTGGCTGATGACTGGTAACAGTAAATAGGTTAAAAGATCTGAATAAAATAAAATTTTACAAAAAAAAAAGTTTTCCAAAAAAGTTCCAGAAGCACAGAACACATACCCAATACAAAACCGCCTTGCTTTTAATTACAAAATGAAAGACATGGTAGCTCAGCAGCAGCGGGCTGGCCCAACATGCACAATGCCATAGGTTTATTTCCCAGCACTGCACCAAAAAAACATCTACTCCTATGATGATGCAAATAGTGAAATGAGTACAAAGTCACTCTACTTCAAACATACGATGATACAGAATGTCAAGGTAGTTTTTATTCATTTCTCAGGTTAATTCCCTACTTTTCTGGCTTTGGATTTCTACGATTAAAAAAAAACACACACACAAAATACTCAGTTCAAAATCACAGGCTCTACAAATCCCTTTCTCAAACTTATTTATTTTGTTTTTGGTTTTGGTTTTTTGAGACAGGGTCTCACTACGTAGTTGTGACTGACCTGGAACTCACTATGTAGCCCAGGCTGGTCTCGAACTCACAGCGATCCTCCTGCCTCAGCTTCCCAAGTGCTGGGATTACAGATGTGCGCCACCACGCCCGGCTCCTTTCTCAAATTTAGAGCTCTGTATTCTAGTCATCTTATCAAGTGTGGCAAATGCATACATTTTAGTCCACACAGACAATAAGCCTACCACATGCACAGATTTACCTGTCAAAGACAAAGCGCATCAGCTGCAAGTTCAGGGTGCAAGGGAGGCTCAGAAGACGAATCTTCCTTGTAGCGTTCTGTTTGCTTTGACAATTTTCACAAAAGTATCGATTGTCTCCTTCTAGCTTTTCTTCCTGAGCAGGAATAAGACACATTATTTTTAAAAAACAAAAAGATGGGCTGGGAATTTAGCTCAGTGGCACCGTGCCTCACAAGCAAGCACAAGGTCCTGAGTTCCATCCCCAATAGCAAAAAAATAAAAAGCAAAAGATGGAAAACAGAATAAGCAATAAAACCTATGATAGCTAGGCGTGATGGCGCACGCCTGTAATCCCAGCATGGGGGAGGCTGAGGCAGGAGGATCACTATGAGTTGGAGACCAGCCTGGGCTACACAGTGAGTTCCAGGACAATCTCAACTCCATAGTGAGACCCTGTCTCAAAAAACCTGTGATGTAAAGCTTAATTTCATTTAAGAAATAGCTCCCCTCAATGGTGACACTGTATACAACACTTAAAATCAAAGTGCCTATTTCCAAAATGTATGCTTTCAGAAATGTTAAGCAGGTTTCAAAAAAAGAAATCTCACTAATCTTAAAATAAAGAAAAGATGCGTATTTTGGTTAAAATTAGTGAACCACATTCATGAGCTGTGAGAGCAGAGAGCCAATGGAATAGCTGACAATGATTTCTTTCCAAATTTCCCTTTCTAAAATAGACTCGTACATAGGAAAGGGAGGCTGAGGGGAGGGAGAATGGAAAGGAAGAGGCAAGATATTCATGTACAGGTGCAAATTCCCTACGATGAGTTATCTTCATGTGCATCTAAAATGTACCAATAAATTGTAGCCGCTATTCTAAGTTACACAGGACTCGTGCTGTCACTTTCCCCACTGGCACTTCCAAGGCATCACACTGGTCGGTCTCTCCTCCTAACTCACTGGCCGTTCCTCTACCGCTCCCTTTGCTGTTCCTTATCTCCCTAGGACTTGCACAGGGCCCAGTGCTCGGCCCTTGTCCTTCTCCATTGCCTCGGGAACGAACGCTAAAGCTCTCTCTCCCCCTTCTCCCCCTTGAACTTCACCTCTCAAGCAGATGGTTCTCAAACACAAACTTCCGTCTTTCACTGCGGTGCTGGGGGTGTAACCACAGGCCTCCCACACGATAGGCAGCTGCTCTGCTGCTGAGCTACCCATCCCTAGCCTGAACTTTGTGATTCCTTCCCAAACCTGATGGCAACTCCATTCTTCTACAATGTTAGGCCACAGAATTTAGTAATCCTTGACTTCCTCTTTCTCTTACTTGGCACACACATTTTACCTTTACTCTGAAAATGTTATCTAGGAGCCAAACACTGTTTTCTAAGTCTTCAGCTAACCCTCAGTCCAGGCTACCACGCATTCTGTCTGCCTTCAGTCCTTCCTTTTCGACCAGTCTTGAAGACGGCACACACAACTGTCTTGTTAAAGCAAACTGTACAGCTGCTCTGTTTACAGTCCTTTTAGTACCTCAACCCCACTTTCAGTGAAAGTCAACCTGTCACATATCTAGGTCTGTGTGCTACGGCCCTTAGCTACCTTAAATTCTCACACGTCTTCGCGTTCTCCCTTGCTATCCACATACTATCAGCCACACTCAGCCCTGCTGTTCTCTAACTACAGGCACAGCCTCATCTCAGGCTCTGTATTCAGTATTCCACCTGCACACAACACTCGCTTGACTGTCATGTGGCTCACTCTTTTGCATTAAATCATTTAATTTCTTACGGCAACCCCCCTCCATATCGTACTCCCTGTACTGTGCTTATTCCTCATAGCACTTATTTTTGACACACTATGCATTTTATACATATTTCCCATGACCTTCCCCTGTACTCGTAAAACTGCACTGTAAGTTCCATAAAGGCTTATTTTATCTTTTTGTCAAATACTGCTTGATACAAAGTAAGCACTCAGTGTGCAGATGAATCCATTCAACAGATGACTACAACCATGTTAATGGATAGCTAGGAGTAGGACAAACACAAAAAGTTAAGGCAGGAAGCTGGTTGTTAAGCGAGCTACGGGTCTCTTCAAACTGGATAATGAAGGTTTCCTTTTAGCACTCAGAATAGAGAAACACCTCTAATCTCTGCATAAAGCTAAACATGCAGAAACTAGAAATACAAAGAGGAAGGGGTTAAAATGAACACATTAACAGAAAAAATTGCATTTAAAACATTGGAGTTCTCAGCCAGGAGTGGTGGCCCACACCTGTAATCCCAGCATTCAGGAGGCTGGGGCAGGAGGATCGCTGTGAGTTTAATACCAGCCTGGGCTACACAGTGAGTTCCAGGTCAGACTACATAGTGAGACCCTGTCTCAAAAACAAAAACAAAACAAAACAAAACACACTGCAGTTCTCATAACATGAAAAGATGAATTAGTTTTATGGTAGCAGACCTTGGATTCCCTTAAATACTCCACTGCTCTCCTAATCACACACACACATAATTTTCAATATAAGCTACCTTACAACTGAAAAGATGCAACCTGCCTCGATAATTTTCTTTTAAATCACTATAGCAGACTGGTGCAACCACTATGGAAATCAATATGGAGATACCTCAAAGAGCTGGGACTAGAGGTTCCATTTGACCCAGGCATCCCTCTGCTGGGTATCTTTCCAAAATAATTTAAAAGAATCACACCACAGTGATATATATGTGTACCTATGTTTATAGCAGCACAGTTTGTAATAGCTAAAACTTGGAAACAGCCCATTTGCCCATCAGTCGGAAATTGCATAAAGATGTGGTTTTTCTATAAAATGGAATACTACTCAGCCATAAAGAACAAGAAACTAGATTCATTCATAGGAAAATGGATACATATTGAGGATATACTCCTAAGTGAAATAAATAAGTCACACATGTGTGAATACCAAGTAGTTTCTCTGGTGTGAAAAACTATAATAGTACATAAGATCCTAATGAGGTAACTGACAATGTGAAATACGAAGAAAAGGACTAAAGGTGTAGGGCAGGTGGGAAGGGTAGGGGAAAGGTAATAAGGGAAAAGAAAAAATAGGAGAAAATGAAAAACTGGAAATAAAGTGTTTGTGAATGGGGAGGGGAGGAGGGGGTGAAGGGAGGGCAGGGACAAGGGGAAAAAATGAGAACCAAGACCTGTCATGTAAAGGTACAAGATCCCAAAAATGAATGCAACTGTACTGTATACCTAAAATGTACCCATAAACTCAATTAATAAAAAAATCACTGTAGATACGATTCTTATCAAAAATGCTGAAATGGTGGAATTATAATTACATATAAATACCATTGAGAATAGCAGTTAATTATCAGTGAACAGAAATAATACATATAGTATAATGTAAATACCTTTAAAAATTCTGAAATACAATCTGTTAACTGTTTGTGGCCTTGGATATTTAACTCCAGTTCATAGAACTTTGATAACAGCTTGGACTCCCTGCCACACTGATTGCAACTATAATAAAAGAGTGATAACATAAATTAAGATCACAATGAAAAAAGCATCACATTCTATTATACTACATCCCACAAAAATGGAAAAGCATATAAAATTTTAGTTGGCATATACCTATAATCCCCGCACTCAGGAGCGCAGAAATTTGGATTCACTGTCAAATTCAAGGCCAGCCCAGGCTACAGTTACGTTTTAGACCAGCCTAAACTACCCAGGGAGACCTTGTCTAAAAAAAGAAATAGTAAATTAGAAAAATAAAGACCTAGCTGGGCATGGTGGCACATGCCTCTAATCCCAGCACTCTAGAGGCTGAGGCAGGAGGATCACTGAGTTTGGCTCAGCATAAGGGCCCCCCATTACCGCCCCCCAGGAAAAAAAAAAAAACCTTAGTTGGTCCTCTTTCATAAGAAAGATTCACACAACATTAAAATGAAGCCAGGCATAGTGTCGCACACCTGTAATCCCAGTACTCAGGAGGCTGAGGCAGGAGGGTCGCTGCGGGTTTGAGACCAGCCTGGGCTACATAGTGAGTTCCAGGTCAGTCTCAACTACATAGTGAGACCCTTTCTCAAAAACAAAAACAAAAACATTAAAATGAAAACTCTATGGCTGGGGATGTAGCTCAGTCACACAGCGCCTGCCTCACAAGTGCAAGGTCCTGAGTTCAATCCCTGGTGGGAGGTGGGGGGGAGAAAACTCTAAAAGTGACTGGTGGGACCGTGAATTTTATAACTGGGAAATTTTTTTAAGCGGTGCTATGTTTAGTATTCATGCTGGCTCCAATCATATTCCTTGAACTCACACTACCCAGCAATAAAGTACATGGCAGGAGTTCAACTAAACATAGCTTCCAACATCTGGATGCGTGCAGCTGCAATGACCAAGCTGGGTTGTTGTTTCCATATAAAATGTTACTTACTATAAATCTCAGAACACTTGATAACCCACTAAAGCTGCAATGTGGAACGTAACTGAAAACTGGGTAACATGGGTGACTTATTCTAGAGTAAAATGTACCGTGAAAAAGTCCAGGTAGACTTACACAGTTACATAGGCATATTCCCCACAGAACTGCTGCTGAACAATGTTCCGAACATCTGGATTCTTCTGTTTAGACAAAGTATCTTCCAACAGAGACATAAACAGCTTTGAAAATTCCTGCGCATCCTACAAGTTTGGATTAATGAGAAAGAAAGTGTAATTCTTTTCTAGAAACTATCTGTACTTGCAATGTAGCATTTTTTGAATTAAGTACTACAGGTAATTTTAAAAAATAAAAATCTTAGTTGGTTCACATATGAATTCTCAGAAATGAAGATGAGAATAATGCAGGACAGACTAGACAGTAAATAAAGGCTCAAATCATTCAAAATAGAAAAACGCTTTTCCAAAGGGATCTTATTTCACCTCTCTATACAAACATGCTAAGAAAGACCTTTGAAAGCTTTTTTTTTTAAAGTTCTTACCTGTTGTTGGCCAGTGTCTAAGCCCAATGCTTTAACAAACCCTGAGGGATCAATGTATCGTCTGTTACTGTTTTGCAACAAAGCAAACAAGTACTGGAGATGTTCACAAATTGTCTGAGGCTCATAATCTATCAAAAGAAAAATGTGTGTTTTTAAAGAGTTGGTAAAATTCCTAGTTCCTGTTCACATAAGAACATTAATAAACACCCGTACGTACACTCAAACTGTACTGTGCTGTCATGGTTCTAAGGCTTTGTGGGAAAGAGCTAGCAATCATCCTTCCTAACGTGGTGCCAGCAGAGCTGCATCATACAGTATCTACAGGTGGGAGGCTGTACACACTATATATGTATGTGCACTGTCACAATTATAACCCCTTACACCAAATACTCAACAACATTTTGTAATAAAGACCGCACTGCCTCTGCATAAGGTGGTTGAGTAAGTACATTCATTACTGTGGCTTGCCACAGACCAAACAAGTAACAGGTAGTCTCCAGCACAGCTATCTACCATCCCTTGCCTGCTCCATGCTGAGAATGAGTGCTGCAAACATTTCTCTGCTGCCAGCTACTACTTGGTCAACTCTGTCAGTGCACGGTACTGGAGGGCTGACTTGTGCCCGCTTTGATGGTAACGCCAGGCTCCTCTGTATGTTTTTACCAAGGCCCCAGGTTCCTTCAGAGAACCATGGTCAGCAGCCTCCCCCAGCACCTCCTCTGACAACCTCAATGCCTCCAGCGAGGATCATCCTCCCCGATGGCCACTGAGTGGGTCACCTTTGGACTCCCTCTTGGGGGACTCTGGAGGGGGTTCACGGGCCAAGCACCTGTTTCCAGCAAGGACCCTCAGTGAGGCATCTCCTCTCCTTTATCTGGAGGTCCCTGCCACGCACTGTCCAAAATTATGGGAATAACAGGCCTATGCCACTGGGGGGAGGGGTTCTCCCTTGGTGGTGACAGAGTTCGCTCCTGAGATGTGCTGTTTTTATTATTGATTGGTACCAGGGATCGAACTCGGGTCCTTGCGCTTGCGAAGCAGGCACCAGAACCACTGAGCTAAATCCCCAGTCTGAGGTCTGCTATTTTATTTTTAATCCTTAGAAACCAATCTTCTATCACTCTAGCTCCATGTCAATAATTATCAATGAGCCTTTCTCTGGTTCAAATTTCTGTCTCCTGATGAACTTGAGTGTTTCTTTCCTGACTGTGACTTTCGGTACCTCAATCTATCAATTGGAAAATAAAACCTTGCTTCTCAGGATCTAACGGCTTTTGCAGGCTGTTAAAAGGTACTCAAGTTAAGTTTGTGTTTACTCCAACTCGTATTTTACAGCTTGAAACACTCTACACAGGCTAAGCATCCTTAATAGGAAAATCCAAAATTTAAAAAATGCTTCAAAATCTAAACGCATTTCAGCATGATATTAAGCATGCTCCAAGAGTTGTGGATTTTGGAGCACTGTGGATTTCAAGATTGGGGATGCTAGGGCCAGGGATTTAAATCAGAGGAAGGCGCAAGTTCAGAGTCCAATCCCTGGTACCAAGAGAAAAAGATTTGGGATGCTGAGCTAGTAACTCTATGCAAATAATAATTAAAATATTGCCAAGGTGTGGTGGTTCTTGCCTGTAATCCCAGCACCCGGGAGGCTGAGCAAAGAGGATCACCATGAGTTCAAAACCAGCCTGCAATACAGTGAGTTCAAAGTGAGCCTCACTTATGTAGGAAGAGCCTGTCAAAATACCCTCCACCAAAAAAGGAAGTCAAAATATTCTGATCTAGCATGGCATGACATGTAATCCCAGCACTCAGGAGGCTGAGGCAGGAGGATTGCCATGAGTTTGAGGCCAGCCTCTGCTACACAGTGAGATCCTGTCTCAAAAAAAAAAGAAAAGAAAATCAGATCTGTAAGAGTTAAGACTCTGAGCTGGGGATTTAGCTCAATGGTTCTGCCACCTGCCTCACAAAGGGAGGGTCCTGATTTCAATCCCCTGTACCAAAAAGAATAAAACTCTGAGGAAACAGCAGTAAACCCCCATCCCCACACTACTGGGGGCTGAAACCCAAGAGCTACATCCCCAGTCTTTCTGTATTTTGAGACAAGTGTCTCACTATGCTGTTCAGTCTAAACTACACAAGCCAGACCCTGCCTGCCTCCAAGAAAATTTACAGCGTAGAATTTCCAGAGTGGAACAAGATGCAGAAAATCCCAACTTGGAGCCCCAAGACCTGCACCATCTTAGAAACCACCCTTTTTTAGACAGAGTCACAGTATATAGTTCACGCTGAACTTGAACTCACTGTGCAGCCCATGCTGGCCTCAAACTCATGGCAATCCTTCTGTCTTTGACTCCTGAGTGTTGGGATTACAGGCCTGTGCCACAGCACCCAGCCTAGAAACCTCCCATCTTGAAAAAGAAAAATCTGGTTCATTCCATGAAATCCCCAACTCAAAGAGGAACGTTCTTTGCAGATTTCAAAAGCAATGTCATTTATAAATAACAATCCACACAGTGCATGAAATAAAAACGTAAGTTTTAGTAGAGCCGGGCGTGATGGCACACACCTGTAATCCCAGCACTTGGGAGGCTGAGGCAGCAGGATCGCTGTGAGTTGGAGACCAGACTTAGCTACACAGGGAGTTCCAAGTCAGTCTCAACTACCTAGTGAGACCCTGTCTCAAAAAACCCAAAGAAAAAGTTTTTAATAGAACTGGAGATTTAGCTCAGTGGTTCCAGTGCCTGCCTCCCAAGCACAAGGACGCGAGTTTGATCCCTAGTAACCCCTCCCAAAAAAAGAAACATATTAAGTTTTAGTGGAAACACAAATTGTCTCTGTTCAGATTCATAGTGAGAATAGTAGCACTTTCATGGGTGACTTTTGAACTTTTCCTGTCTTACTGATTTTATCACTACAAAATAAATGCCTACAGTCACTGAGTGTTTTATAGACAAATTATACCCGTAAAGAATGCTAAGAACAGGGTGGGGGATTTAGCTCAGTGGCACCGTGCCTGCCTTGCCAAGTGCATGGTCCTGAGTTTGATCCCAAGTACCACACACACACACACACACACACACACACACACACAGAATGCTAATAACAAGCAAACGTGCTTCCTTCATCTAAAATATTAGCCATTTTGGTATAAAAATGACAAATATATGCAGGGCAGTTAATCCTGTGTGTAGGAGGAACCTAGTATCCAGCCTGCCAGTGAGATGAGTGCCCATGTTCCCTCCTTTTTGATTGGTTCAGAAGGGCTCTAGCTATCAACAACCTCAGAAGAGTTCTCCCTTGCCCATGCCCACCAACCTTTCTCTTCGTGGACACCATCTCCCATCACATAGTCACTACAGGTGCTGGGACACAAGTACAGTGCCTGCCGAAGCTCCAGGTTGAGAAACCACACTTGAAGAAATGTGTTGACGTAACAAGTAGCTCCAAGGTTTGTCAGGCCCACAAATGAGTTCTACAGAAATACAAGATCATAAAATTTAGTTCCCTTTAAACACAAAACCTATGAGCAGCATTTTTTTTTTTTGAGACAGGGTCTCACTATGTAGTTGAGACTGATCTGGAACTCACTATGTAGCTCAGGCTGCTCTTGAACTCACAGTGATCCTCCTGCCTCAGGCTCCCAAGTGCTGGGATTACAGGTGTGCACCACTACGCCCAACTGAGGAGCATTATTTTTAAATCTTCAGATTAAAGATTGGTAAGACTGTCACAGTCTGCAATACATAAGCACCCCTTACAAGTCTCTCCTGGTTCAAAGTGGGGAGGATTTTCCCCAAAGTCCAAAAGGGGTTGGTTGCCCACAGATGTGGAGGTTTCAGAAAGCATCGGTGCCCACAATAGCAAGTTGTCTTCTCCAGCTACTTCATCGAATTATTAGAACAGTAGATAGATTCTAGAAAAGATCACTTTTGAACGTGTATACACAGGCTTATTTGCACTATTCCTAAAACTGCCAGCATTCAGGAGAAAAGTTCCCCTATAGCCCTAGACATTAGATTTGGTACACTGGGAACTGGGGCAGTGAACTGGGTCAACTTTTTCCAAAGTTTAAGAAACCCATGTCAAGCATGGTGGCGGACGCCTCTAACCCCTAGCACTTGAGAGGCTGAGGCAGGAGGAATAACTCAAGTTTGAGGCCAGCTTGGGCTACATAGTGAGTTCGAGGCCAGTCTAAACTACACAGTGAGACCCTGTCTCCAAAAACCAAAAGAAATCCTGAATCATTATAATTATTTCTATGAAATATTTAAGTCCTAGAAAATGAAGCTACATTATTACAGTACCTTATCCCTTTGAATTACTACCTCCTTTACAGATATTTTAATTTAAAAATAAAGTATACAATGTTAAGGCATACACAGAACCAGAATTTTCTCAAACTACTGTTTACTGTACCGAGGCACATAGCTGTTGTAAAGCATGTTATTAAGGTTTAAAGCTCGAATGTCCCCTGAAAGCGTCAGGTGCTTAAGAGATGGGGGAAGGTGACTGGACCGTGAAGGGATACACCCATCAACAGAGTAGTCCATTAATGATTATTTTAGTAGGTATAAATGCACTGGGAGGCGGTATAGCTCTCTCCTTCCTCTTCTCTTCTGCTTCCTGGCAGCCAAGATACAGCTTTTCTTCCGACTAGGCCCTTCCACCATGCCCTTTCTCCCCTGGAGCCAGTAGGCTGAAGGAATAAGCTAAAGTCAGCCTGTTCTTAAGGTGTAGGTGTCAGATACTGCGTCCCAGCGAGAAATGACTCGATGTGATAAAATGTTCCACGAGTACTGGCCTTTAATTCTACTGACAGCTGCAGTTTACCTGAAACCAGTAGTGATTTCTGTTCAGACACAGCACATTCTCAAAAACCAGGAATACCACACATCATTTACCTTTTTTCTCCTCTCACAGTTGGGATCATCAATGTTGTGAAAACTATTTTCATCTATTTCTCCTAACCAAATATGCTCACCAATCCCAACCAAGCAATTTGGATTTCCTTTGCAGTTGCGTCTGAAAGAAAAGGAAAAGTTACTGTTTAGTTTTAAAGTGCCTAGTGGAGGTGAGAGAGGAGGAGAAGGGCGGGCTACTAATGGTTATAGAATTTTAAAAATTGATGGCTGTGAGGCTGGAACTGTGGCTCAGTTACGGAGCATTCGCAGCCTTGGGTTCCATCCCTAGCACTCCCAGTATAATAACAGCAGGAGCAGTAAGTATACAGCTGAGAGTGGTGAGTTACACAACCTTGTAAACATAACTAGCAACCAAAGAACTGTGCACTTTAGACAGATGTCATTCTCATATAGTTTTCCTCTCTAAAATGAGCAAAACCAAGAAATGATAAGACTCAGACTGGGCAAGATGGTGCACAAGTGTAATTACCAGGACAAAGGAGGCTGAAGCAGTACGATCATGATTTCAGTCAACCTGGGCTACACAGCAAGCCCCTTTCTCACTGCCAGTGCCCCCCATGCACTCAGTTTGTGGAGCAGTGGAGATATGCGCATGCAAATTCCACTGGTGGAAATAAAAACTGGTACCTTCATGGAGATTTTTTGCAACCCCTGACAAAAGCTATGCAAGGACCTAGCAATCCGATTTCTAAAAAATTCAGCCTGAAAATACACCTTCAGTGATGCAAATACACATGGATTAAGTTTCTCACTGCAACTGTTTAGTCACAGAACACTGAGAACCAAAATGCTCACAGAAGAGCCAGTGCAACCACACGGTGGAGTACTGTGTGACTACGTAAGATAGAACAATGAAGGTCTAAATGATGTGGAATAATTCCCATGACATATTAATCAAACCTGAGTGCCTATAAACTAGCTAAGTACAGAGCATGAATTAGGTAAAAAGGAAGGGCATCCGAAACTCTTCCGGATATACCCCTACACACATTGTTGAATTTGGGGGGCCATGGTAATGTTTTCCACAGCACACAAATCTCCAAGAACAGCAGGAACCCTAAATTCAGCAAAGAGAAAAATTTTAGCCAGGTGTGGTGGTGTACACCTGTAATCTCAGCACTAAGGAAGCTGGGCTACACAGTGAGTTCGAGCTTAGCTTAAATATGTAGTTAGACCTTGCCTCAGGAAAAAAGTGAAAAACATTTCAATTGAACAAAATATGGGGAGCAAGGGGTGGTATGGGGCAGTCACTTCCACAGCCAGTAACTAGCAAGCTCTTTAAAGGAACAATTATCAAGGAGGCTTTGTATTTCACAGAGGGGTGAGTTAGCAGTTCTGAAACCAGGGCCAGGGATTTAGCTCAGTAGCACTTGCAAGTGCAAGGTCCTGATTCAATCCCTGGTACCAAAAACAAAACAAAAACAACAAAAAAAGCAAAACCCCCCACTTTGTAGCAAAGGTAAGGACATACTCAAAGAATGATGCAGACATGTTTTAAAAAGAAAAGAAAATGCATACAACTGCTAAGGGGACACCCCTGTGACCAAATTTGGCCAAAAAAAAAAAAAAAAAAAAAAAGAACAGTTGCCATGGCTCACGTCTGTGATCTTAGCTACATGAAGGCTGATCCCAGAGGTCTGCAGGTTGGAGGACAACCTGGGCAATGCAGCAGGACCCCCCCCCCATTTCACAATAAGAATTGAGGATGTGTAAAGTGAAATAGGAAGAAAAGGACCAAAGGTGTAGGGACAGTGAGGATAGGGAAAGGGGAACAAGGGAAAAGGAAAAAAATATGAGAAAATGGAAAAATGGAATTGAAGTGTTTGAAGGTGGGGAGGGGAGGAGGGGGTGAAAGGAGGGTGGGGACAAGGGGAAAAAATGAGAACCAAGACCTGGCATGTAAAGGTACAAGATCCCAGTAATGAATGCAACTGTACTGTCTACCTAGAATGTACAATAAATTCAATTTAAAAGAAAAAAAAAAGAATTAAGGATGTAAGTAAGGCAGTGGCTCAGACAGAACCCCTGGCTTCAATCTCTACTATTGTAAAAAACAAATACCACGAAATGATCAGCAGGATTATAACCTACAATGAGTAATATGATTATAACCTATGAATGTTCGAGTCTCTGGCTTCATGAGATATATGAAAGAAAAACCTCATCCTTATAGAAGCCATTAACACAGAAAGACAATTTTTGGAAAAAAAAAATCAACACTTGGCATCCATCAGAACACAAAAATTGGACACGAATCAGTGAATGCTAGTGCAAGCAAGCTGAAGAAATACAATATTTGCAGTATCTCAAAGTATTTCAGCACAAGTTACTTAGTTACCAAAGGAGAACACAGTAACTTCCAGCAGAGAAATAAATCAGTCAACACAGGCAGTAATGGCCGGAGGGGACAGCACACTTGCTGGTGGGAATGCAGAGCACACAGCACCACTCCCTCCCTCAATGTTCCAGCCCACAGTGCGTGGCCCAAATGTAATCATGAGGAAAGGAAAGAGCAGACAGATGGAATTGGAGAAACACCGTGCAAAGTAAGTATCGTACTTCTTAAAAACATCAATGTGATAAAGATTGAGCAACCATTCCAGATTAAAAGGGAATATAATATGAAGACATGAATCCAGCCCAAGACAGGATCTTGCTATGTGGCCCAGGCTGGCCTTAAACTCATGGCGATCCTCCAACCTCAGTTTCCCAAGTCCTGAATTACAGGCATGGGCCATCGGGCCTGGCTTCTGATTTTTATGTTTGGGCTTCAAGGAATACTGTTGGGTGGGACAATGCAGTGCGTGCCTGTAATCCCACCACTCAGAAGGCTAAGGCAGGAGGAAGTTTGAGGCCAGCCTGGGCTACACAGTGAACACTAAGCCAGTCTGAAGCGCAGTGACAGTCTCAAAAAAAAAAGGCACAAAATAATTTCATATTGCCAGCTTTTGCTTACAAATGGGGGTAACAGACCTGACTGGGTAGACGGAAGGATCCACTGTAAATAACCATTTCTAAGATCGGGCTCCCCCATCACTTTTGCTGTAGCGGGGTGTGGTACCCAGTGCGCACTGAGCTGTAGAGTTAAAGCCTCGGTCCTTTTTAGACAGCCTGAGTTGTACCGGCTGGCCTCAAACTTGCCATCTTCCTCCCTTGGGCACCCCTCTCCGCAGCGAGCCACCACCAGGCCCGGTGTCACCATCACTCTTTACACTGTCCAGAGTTATGAGAGGAATGGACAGCACATTCCCAAAGTAACTGCTCTGAATGTTCTGTGTAAGGGTACTGTTTTCCTGGCTTTAAAATTATATATGAAAAGGGGTGGAGGATTTAGCTCAGTAGCACTGTGCCTGCCTCCAAAGTGCAAGGCCCTGAGTTTGATCCCAGGTACTACCAAACAAACAAAAAAAAACCCACACAAAACAAAACAAAAACATGAAAATAAATAAACAAATAACATAAAATATGGACCAGGCATGGTACTGCATGCCTGAAATCCCAGCCCTTGAGAAGGTGAGGCAGGAAAATCTGAGTTTGAAGGCAAACCTGTGCTACATAGTGAGACTGTGTTTAAAAAAAAAAAATCAAATATGGGACTGGGGATGTGACTCAGTGGTGGAGCGAATGCCTAGGCTCAATCCTCATTCCCGCTCACCACCTTAAAAAGTGGCCATATAAAAGCAAGGGATGCAGATAGGGCTCAGTGACAGATACCGGTCTAGCAAGTGTGAAGGCCCTGGATCTGGTTCCCAAAAGAGTTACATACACCTTAAATTTTCTCTTCTATAAAAAGATGCTATAATCGCCAGGCGTGGTGGCTCACGCCTGTAATCCCAGCGCTCGGGAGGCTGAGACAGGAGGATCGCTGTGAGTTCAAGACCAGCCTGAGCTACATAGTGAGTTCCAGGTCAGTCTCAACTACATAGTGAGACCCTGTCTCAAAAAAAAAAAAACAAAAAAAAAAAAACAAAAGGTGCTATAAAACTTGATTCAGAGAATGCAGAAAAGATCTTTCCTTGAAACAACAGCAAGGATATCCTACAGGAAGTAGTTTTTTTTTCCCAATGAAGATGACAAAGGATCTGGGTGTTGCTCAGTGGTCCAATTTGCCCAGCACACATAAGGCCCTGGGTTCCTCCCCTGAAACAAAACACATGCACATGACAACAAGGAGCTAGCAGCAGATGACAAGGTCTTTGGGAAACAGAAGAGTATCGATACTACACTAAAAATAAGTATTCACTTATTTTGTTAATTCTTTCAAATCTCCTTTTCCAAAGTGTGATGATATCACCTCATTTGTTCCCTGCATCCTCGGAAGGTAGTCCGAATTTGTCACAAAACTTAGCTGGGCAGAAAACTACTGATCAAACATACACATGATTCTCTCAGAAAACAGCTCCACTGGAACTGTTCAGAACAGTCTCCCGTTATGGACAACAAAATAACACAGGCAAGAAGCAGGAAGTAAGTGCTCCTGTCCTTACCCACCCCCAACACACTGGAAAATCATGCACACTCGTCAGGGCTAAAACTGGTTTCAAAGAGCAAGCAATAAAGCCAGGAATGGTGGTGTGTGCTGAGGCAGGAGGATCAAAACTCCAAAGCCAGCCTGGACTACATAGTGAAATATTGTCTTAAAGAAAAGGCAAACAAATACAGCCTATGGACTAAAAGTCACAGCAGGGCTTTCAAAACTGATAAAAAAAAAAAAACAGCTAATATGAACCTTTAGGAGCAATCTACATTATCTGGAATACTAGCACTGTTTTTCTTAAAATATGTCTTCTTGGATGGTGGCACAATGGTGTAATTCCAGCACCTGGGAAAATGAGGCCAGAGGATTGAGAAATTGAGCCTAGCCCAGGTAACTTAGTGACTTAGCAAAACCTTGTCTCAAAATTTTAAAAAAAAACAGCTAATATGAACCTTTAGGAGCAATCTACATTATCTGGAATACTAGCACTGTTTTTCTTAAAATATGTCTTCTTGGATGGTGGCACAATGGTGTAATTCCAGCACCTGGGAAAATGAGGCCAGAGGATTGAGAAATTGAGCCTAGCCCAGGTAACTTAGTGACTTAGCAAAACCTTGTCTCAA